GCAGGGCCAATTACAGGCACTGAGACATTTCCCGATCTCTGCAGCTGCGGACCGGGAACATGTCTCAGTGCCTGTGATTGGCCCTGCGCGCTGACGGCTTCCTGGCGCCCGGTACGAGGCGCTTGCGAACACGCCCAAGCTCATCACTATTCAGGAGTCAGGAGGACTGCACCCAGAAGTCAGAGGGGAGCCAAGTGGCTGTGTGTGCTGGAGGCACAGGGAAGACAGCCAAGGAGGCTTAGAGAGCTAGTGACACATGGAGTACGTGTGACAATCTTTAGTCGGTGACCCAACGGACCTGGTGGACACACTGCTGAGAGAGCAGTGTGAGTGCTCATGAGGGGTGAACAGTGTGAGTATCACACAGAGGTGTGCTGAGGATTGTATATGCTGAGCAAAGCAATATTATAAGAAGTGCATCAACTGTTCTGTTTAATGTATGTTGAAGAGGAATAAAGACTGTCCTGTTTATGTTCAAGTCGGCTTCAAGACTGGTCCTTATGAGCTCACCATATGTGCTCAATTCCCCAAACATCACACCACCTTAAGAAGCGCTAAGTCTGTTTTATTTTCACCTTTATGACTTTTTGTAATAATAATAATACAAGAAATTGGTCTGGTATATGTATGTCTATGTCCAGTCTATCACTGTAGCACCCGAATAGTCCATGTGCCAGCTTTCGTTGCGTAGTCCTATTTATAGCCAAACACCTGACAAATCCTTCTCTTCAAAGATCCCAACAACAATTTTGATAATCGCTTTGAGTCCCCCGGGGAGAAAAGCGCTATAGAAATATTATTATTTTTATGACATGGTTGACAATGTGTATTTTGCATATCAGTCATCGGTTTTGTCTGGGGTTTTTTTTTCCCGATCTGAAATAATGGATGGTACAATTACCGGGCGGCTGAGGCTGGCTTCGCACCTATGCCGTAACGGGCAATATAATGCAACTTTTTGTGCTGCATTGCAGGGTCATTGCTTTTCGAATGCGACTACAACTCACAAGTACAGAACGCTGCGATGTACCCAACGCTGCAATGCATCACAACATGCATGCTGCCCGTTGTGGCACTACAAAAGGTTCCTTTGCCGTGTGTTGGCAGCCCGTTTTAAATAAGGGGGCTGCCATTACACGTTAACACATTTCAGGTCTTTTTGGGTAATGTTGGTCTTACATGGGCTGATCTTGAGATTGGCCAAGACACGACAAATATTGTAACTTGGATAAGTGCACTATACACTGAGTGGCCAGTTTATTATGACCACCCCATCAGTACTGCGCTGGGCCGCCTGGTGACTCCACGAGATGTTGAAAGGTGATGCGAGGAATCTGACACTGCACTGTTGCCCTTCTGTTGTCTTGTACCAGTCTTGCCACTCTCCGTTCTGCCCTAACATTGACTAGTCGCTGACGGCCACAATTCGCACGCTCAGACCCAGATTTTTGGCTGACAGTCCGGTCTTTAAACACTTTAACAATAAGCCCCTCTTGGAACATTTAACTAATTCTGCTGTTTTGCTGATACTCGCTCCATGGCTCCGAGCGCCAACAATCATCCCGCGTTCAAAGGCTGTTAAATCGCGTTGTTTCCCCGTATCTTCAGAAACAAATCACTTCTACTGTCGTGGTAAACAACCTGCTTCCCTATTTATAATGGTCTGGCCCTCTAAGCAACTTCAGCGCCAAATTATAGCTAATTTGCCTACAAACGTCAGGTGGTCATAATAAACTGGCCACTCAGTGTATTACCCTACAGCAGTGGTTCTCAACCTGTGTAACCTCAGGACCCACATTTGTCCTTGGACATTAAGTCGTGACCCAAGTCGCACTGCACCAGAACGCATGGCATTGCGGTACTGCACGTTTCGGTGCGGGCGTTTGAACTGTGGGTAGGAGTTGCGTTTGAGCTACCATTCAAATGGCAATGCAACACCCCCCCCCCCACCAGAATTTGCGGTAGGTGCGATTTTACGTGGTACAGTGTGTTAATCGCAGGGGATTGTGCAAAAAACGCACTGTATTAGTGTGAACGGGCCCTCAAAAACACTGACAGACACAGACAACCACAGACACAATCTCACAAACTCACAGATATCCTCACACAGGCATACACACTCCAAAAACGTTTTTCTTTATCTAAGATTCACCCAGTCACCCTATCTTATCGAGACCTGGGGGGGATCCTCAGCCTGGGTCCAGTGTGGGCTGCTGTGCTGTGACGGAGCTCCATCCATATGTGCATTGCTGGGACAGCTCCCTTGTGCGCCCTGTAGAGGTGCAGAGAGCCAGAATGGGATGTCACTCCGGTCCAGGTACCTCTACAGGACACATAAGGGAGCTGTGAGCAATGCATGTATGAATGGAGCTCCCTCACGGCCATAGCTCCATCCCATCCCACCCCGCGTCAAGCTGACATTTGGCACCGGGCAGCATATTTTGAATGGCTGCTTGGCGTGAGAACTGACAGTGCTTGCGCTAGGGGGAGGCTCAGGAGCCTCTCACCTAGAAAAGTGGAAGGCATGTGGTGACCCACTGAACACAGGTTCGAGACCCACTTTTGGTTCACGACCCACCAGTTAAGAACCAAGGGCCTACAGTATGTGTCAACTCAAAGTGATCTGTCCTTTTCTAATGGGCCAAATTTTCCTATGGCTATGGATACGTTTATAATATCAAGTCTAAGCACCCTGCCCTATGCCAGACCTTGTTCCTTCTTGCTGACGGGTTTCACCCCAGCCTGGGGTAAAACTTCAGTGCAGAAGGAGCAGGGTCTGGAGGAGGGCGATGTGCTTGTCCGTGATATTATGAACTGAATCTGTACAACTGTGCAAGACTGAAAGGAAGGTCAAACTTCGGCTTTAAGTGATTTTAACAGTTCCCTTTTCTAAAACGACATCAGAAGCATTTCCCTATCTTGTCCAGTTTCCAATTCTGGCGTCTCTATATGGAAACTGCAGCCAGTTATTTCCCTCAGGCAGCTGCAGGGAAGAAAAAATGAAATGTTGTATCAGCTGTTTTTGCATGGAGTTCAGTTTAGGCTATCACATGTACCTGCTAGGGTTGCCGCCTGTCCAAGATTCACCCGGACAGTCTGTTTTTTGGGTCCTGTGTCCGGGTTTCAAGCCTGCTGACACAAGACATTAAGTGCTGATAACGGCACTTTACCTTTTTTGACAGCCGCGGCTGCCTGAGGTCTCCAGCAAACGTGGGACTTCAGGCAGCCGCATCTTCCTGTGAGCCGTGGGTGCCTGTAAACATGCAACATCCCACACATCTACTCCTCCGGCTCCCTCCTGACAGAACACTGCCTGCCTCCGGACCCCAGGTGAGACCCCTAAACTTCCCCATTGCACTCATGAAAGCCTGCATAGCCCACCTGAGACCCCACACATCCACCTGAGAGCCCGCATGGCCCACCTGAGAGCCCGCAGAGTCCACCTGAGAGCCCGCAGAGTCCCTCTGAGAGCCCGCAGAGTCCCTCTGAGAGCCCGCACATCCATCTAAGAGCCTGCATAGCCCACCTGAGACCCCACACATCCACCTGAGAGCCCACATAGCCCTCCTGAGACTCCTCACATCCGAGAGCCTGCATAGCCCACCTGAGACCCCACACAGCCACCTGAGAGCCCTCATAGCCCACTTGAGAGCCCGCAGAGTCTACCTGAGAGCCCACACAGCCCTGGTGAGAACCCGCACAGGCCACCCGAGACCCTGGAGACATCAGGGCGGCGCCCCAGAACAACACAGAGTATGTAGCTTCATATTATTTTGTATTGCTGTATAAGGTATTGCTGGGATTTGTAGTCCTCTATAGCCGGTCCCCCTTACTCCCTCCCCTGGCTGTCTTTTTTTGCTCTTCTCCTGGTGGCCTCTCGCGCTCTCCTATATATTCTCGGCGCTAGAGTGTTCGGGTTTCACTTGAAGAAAAGGTGGCAACCCTAGCACCTGCTCATAATTTTGTCTCGATATATCTGTATTGTTTGGCCTTTTCTTGTTCAATGCACGAGACATGATGGTGTTGTTGTACCCGTCAGTAATGCTAATAAACCTTTGTTGCCCCCTCCAGGGTGCCGGCTGTACTGCCTTAGTGGTTGCCGTAGTCGCTCGGAAGCTGGAACTCACCAAAGCAGAAAAACACGTCCATAACTTCATGATGGACACGCAGTTAACGAAACGGGTGAGTAATGAGGGCAAGGGTGGTTGATAGGTGTGAGCTCCCTGAAATAATGGTTTTAGTTAAAGTCTTACTTCTTCAGTTGCATTCTCTGTCAAACCCACAAGGCAGGTGAGTGCAGCTGAGAACTCAGAATCAAAGATGTCACCAATGGAATCTCCAAGAGGTATAAGATGCTGGCATAGGGCACAACAATTACCTTTTAGCTAGAGTTGCTCTTTAAAGTACATGCACACCCAAAACTTAAGAGACTCTATGACATTGCCTAGTCAGGACAAAACTGAGTCTCTTATTAGAGCACCCCAAACCTACTTCTACCTGCCTTCCCCACAGTTCTGTTCCTCTGGCAGTCAATCTCTGTGCATCTCCATGTTGTATGGTGATGGAGCTTGTACAGGGTTGATGAAATTGCAACCTTCCACACGACAGTGTTTGGGGCTAAGGATTGGGCACTGCATGCTGGGAGGAGATGGCATGCACCCCATGCCTGAAAGCACCGGGTATTTGCAAAGGCTTAGATGCAAAAATTGAGTGTCTGGGGGGCATATGCAAGGATAGGACGATGGGTAGGCAGAAGGATGCTAACGGATCTTGTCCTGCCACCGAGCACATGTAATGGGCAAAGTCAGATTATCTATAGGAGTCAGTTTGGGACCAAAACAAAAAAGAACAATGACCAGCGCCAAAAGGAACCCTCCTGTGGCCCATAAAATATATTGGAATCCCGTTTGGGACCAACTTGACCTTTTAATAATATAATAATCAATTAAAAATAATTTTAAGCCAAATTAAGCCTTGTTAATGGTAAGATAATATATCTTCTTGGATTCTCTGTCCCGTGGTCTCGGTTACAGCCCATGTGTAATAATACCAAATACCGAGACAAGTGCAAAAGGTGACATTAGCAACATTGGTTTCCCCAACCTTGCTGTCTGCAGGCGGATAAGCTGATGATGGTTAAAGTCAAACATTGATCTCATGGCCTTCTCCTTCCCTGGCTTATACACTGATGTCCTCTGCTGGTTGCAGCTGGAATCACAAATAAGGTTTTGCACAGGAATCCACTGTATGGCCAAAAATAATGACTTCAGGTGTTTCCAGTAATGGGTTCTGACAGCCGGCGGCTCTCTCTCTCCTCACCGCTCGGCCATGCTGCTGTGACAGCGGCTCCCTCCCCCGCTCCCCCCGCCGGCTTCAGCGCTTCCTTCACTTCCCCTAAGATCCCCGCTGAATACAGATGGCGGAGAGCAGCGGAGATCCAGAGCAAAAGCTGCAGGCTGTGCTCTGTGCATGGCCGAGCGGCGGAGGATCGGTACATATCACTTATATGTACCGATCCTCTGTGCAGAGCAAACACTGGAGCGATCAGCTGATCAGTCCAGTGTTTGTAAATAACTGGGGACACATAGTACTATGTGTCCCCAGTTATGAATGAACAGGAAGTGCTTTACATCACTTCCTGTTGATTCATGAGTTTCTCAATGGGTAGTCGCACTCTGTACAGAGGCTCCTCACCATTCAGAAACTGGTTAATAGTAAATATTTTCTGAATGAATGGGAAGACTCTGTGCTTTCCATTCATTTAGAACAGAGTCTGCAGAAAAAGAGATCGAGGACTATGTGTCCTCAATTTATATTTTAAAAGGGAAATATCAGGCTATGGGGGGGAAACTTTATATTAATGGCCATGGAGGAGGGGGCCAATTCCATATTACTGACCATGGTTTTCTAATGGGATGTCCGGCAAGCGTATATATGGGTGATGGTCAGGTGACCACAGACTTTTGGCAATATTGTGTAACAAGGTGTGTGCGCTATTGTGTGGATATGTTCAAGCCCAAAGTTGTACGCTTATTTGTTTTGGAAAACTTCCAATAGATAAACTTTTCGATCGGCTGTCTAGGGCCCTTCACACCATTCATTTCAGTGAATTGCCTTTTTGAAGGATTCCAAGTTTACTGACTTGAATGGCCAAATGGTCAATGCTTTATAATGCAAAGCTCTTTCTTTCCTGCTGCATGCAGCATATTGATGTGAACCAAGGCCCAGCTGAGGGGTAGACATAAGACATGGCTGCCTAGAGTGCTTCAGTAAAAAGCAGGCGCAAAAATGACAGGACCTGCAACCTATGCCACTAAAGTAGTTCTCAGCTCATGGAGGGGCACACATTGGACTTTTTGCATTGGATGTTACAAGACATTGTCTCGGCACTAGTGTGAACAACTCCTATTCAATAGTCAATCCACCTCCCTTGCCGCACTCCTTACTGAATATTCCAAAGATAACAGGTGCTTGCAATGACTGCGGATGGTGCCGCACAAGTGCTGGTGACATTTGCATTTGTTACTCCTATTAAAATCTCCAACATACGTGACTGTGTTGAAAAATGCATGAACCGTATGTAACCATATGATTGCAATCTCCTGAGCCCAGTCAATGAACTCTCGATGAAATGTCAGCTAATTGTAGTCAGGAAGGCAGACAGAGGATCCGAAGTGAAGTGTTTTCTACCTGTTGGGATGGGACGTGATGGAAGCTCTGCCTTAAATGGCACTACATAGACATACCTACAGATCCCTCTTGGCGGCTATCAAGATTTGTGTCTATCAGATCTATTGAGAATCTTCTGGGACATAACAGAACTACAGAGTTCCATGGAACTTGTATGTAGTCCACACCAGGGAAAGTTCAGCTCTCCCATTAGATTTAGCTTGATGAGCTGGTAGAAATATGCACAGGGCTGTGCCCACAACCCCTGCCATGGCATGAGAGTACTCGGCACTGGCCATTGGCCACTCTGACTGTGGAGAGGGGTGGGGTGTGCCATGTGTTCACCAATAGTGGGTATTTCTTGTGTGAGCCAGCAGCAGACTGGTGTGGTGGGGAGTCACAAGGTGGGTAGGTAATGGATCTGTTGGGTCCAATGAGGAGACTGAACCTATGAGTTTGCCTGGTTTGGACTTTAAGTCCTGAGAATGATAACATGAGATGAAATGATGATTGGGGGGGGAGGTAAGAGGAATGATGGGAGGAATAAAAATACGGGGTAAGCAGGAAGAATGGTGTTGAAGGAGACTGAAGGAAAGAGGATGAAAAGAACTTTGAGTATGGAAATAAAGAAATGATGTGGAAGAAGAATAAACAATGATGTGGGAGGATTGAGGTGAATGATCTGAGTGGAATAAGAGGAATTAAGTAGGTGGAGTTAGAATAAAGGTGAAGAGGTGAGAAGAGTAAAAAGAATGAAGAGTGGCATGAGAGGAATGCAGTGAGTGGTGTGACAATGACGTGGGAGCAGCCCGAATGTGGGAAAAATACACATAAGGATGGAGATGTATTTCCTATGGGGCCTGTGAGGTCTTGTTGTACCTGGGGAAGACTAATTTCCGATGTTTTATGCGTGCTTTGCAGATAAAGAATGCAGCGGCGAATGTCCTGCGAGAAACATGGCTCATTTACAAGCACACCAAACTACTAAAGAAGATCGACCATGCCAAAGTCCGCAAGCACCAGAGGAAGTTTCTGCAAGCCATTCATCAGTGAGTAGAATCCTCCGCCACCAATCACCTTCCTCCCTGTGCCCAATGTGACTTACTCAACGCAATCTTTGCATCACTAATAAAGGTCACATACGTGGTACACGACAAAGGATTACCAAAGCACTATAGAGTAGCTAAAAAGACAGCACAGCACACTGCTTGGGTTGGGTCTTGCAGAGAATTGTCCGATAAAAGGGCCATCCTACGGCTCATTCGGTGCTTTGTGTAAATATTAGCTTGTGGTATTGATCTCTGTTAACAACAGGGTTTTACTACTTGTGGTAAAGAGATACGTAAAACGAATAACTCATGACATCACATGACCAGCCATAAGACTTCAGAATTTTGGGACATATAAAGTACATTTTCAAAATATGGGTGCAGGAAATTGTGTGGGGGATAAGGAGGTCTTACAAAAGTGCAGTTATTTCACCCCTTAGATAAATGAAGACCGGTCTTCAAACAATTCAGTAGCTCAGACTGAAACCTAAACACACACATCCAAGTAGTGACTCTTGCTCCTCTTCCTCCATCAACCTAAAGCCCTGGTGCTCAACCTGAGGCTTGAAGGCCACATACGGCCCTTTGGTACTTGTTGGTGACCCTTGGAGCCCAGCCATTAATAGAAGGATCATTGGTTTGTAAAGGGGCATTAGCAGTGATCTCTTCTAGCCTTGTGAAACACATCCCGTCTCCCAATGTCTTCTACAGCAGTGGTTCTCAACCTGTGTAACCTCAGGACCCACATTTGTCCTTGGTCATTATGTTGCGACCCAAGTCGCACCGCACTGGAATGCAGTAGCGCGTGTTCTGGTGCGGGCGATCGAATTGTGGGTGGGAGGTGCATTTGGAGTTCAAATGATTGGCAACTCCCGAACCAGAACATGGGGTAGGTGCGATTGGTACAGTGCATTAATCGTACAGGATTGTGCTATTAACACACTGTACTAGTGTAAACGGGCCTTCAAAAAGACTGACAGATGCACACAACCACAGACACAATCTCACACACTTACAGACATTATCACACACACATACACACTCCAGAAAAATGTTTTTTTTTTTTTAAAGATCCACCCAATCTCCCTAACTTACCAGAACTGGAGTGGATCCTCAGCCTGGGGTCCAGTGTGGGCTGCTGTGCTGTAAGATCCACCCAGTTTCCCTACCTTACGGGAACTGGAGTGGATCCTCAGCCTGGGGTCCAATGTGTGCTGCTGTGCTGCGACGGAGCTCCATCCATATGTGCATTGCTTGTACAGCTCCATGCATGCCTTGTAGAGGTGCCGGGAGCCGGAATGTAACGTCACTCAGATCCGGGCACCTCTAGGGAACACCTGAGGGAGCTGTAAGCAACGCACGTATGGATGGAGCTCCCTCGCGGCCATACCCCCAGCCCACCCCACTTCAAGCGGACACTCCATGCCGGGAAGCATATTTTGAATGGCTGCTCTGCACAAGAACTGACCTCACCTAGCGCAGTTGAATGCACGTGGCGACCCACTGAACATGGGGTTGCGACCCACTTTTGGGTCACGACCCACCAGTTGAGAAGCACAGTTCTTCAGCATGTCTCCATTCTCCAACCTGACATGTAGCTATAGGTTGGGATAGAGACTGAACCTGTAACCTGTCTACAGTCTCTGAACCATTTCTTCTAGTATGTCTCCAGTCTTTGAAGGTCCTCTCTAGCATTACACTAAACATTACTAAACATTATGTGTAGTCCTTTGGTGTATATACATAGTTTTTTTTTAAAAAACACAGGTATAAAACAAAAGTTGGGATTCGGATACACTTTAAAAAAAGAAACTATAATAAAGTCACCAAAAACAATTTTCAAACTTACTTTAAGCACACTGTAAATGTGTACCGTTGGACAGGCTCGGGACACTTCCACAACACACGTTACTTTGGAACCTTCCACCAGTAATGAGCCAGAGAACAGGAAGTATAGTATGGAGGATGCTTATGTTGGGCCATCTGAACACGGAGCCACCAGACATTTCTAAAGTAGTAAAAGAACATTGGCAGAAGGTTCAGGAGGGCAGTAACATCAAGAACTCAGGATGATGACCTCTAACTAGCAAAAGAAAGTTCAAAACTAACCTTAGAAAGTATTATTTTGCTGAAACAGCGTGTCCTTCATATCAACTGGAGAACGACCAAGCTCCACAACATTCTATTCTTCCACCAGATAGTTCTCAAGACAGCAAATAAATACTCATGGCTCAGTTTTGCCAATTCCAGGCCTTGTGAGCTCCAGGAACCAAAATCTTGACATTGTCTACTTTAAAAACACAAAGTACAATAAGGAATTCAATTATATTATGAAAACCTCAATATGTGATTGATATTGACTCAACAGCCCAACAAACTATTTTATTGTGGGTTTAAATAGCTAAATAAAAAGATCCTCCAGCGCTGACTGGCGGAATGGGTGGGGGGGGGGGGGGGCACCGCTCCATGGGTCAGCGAAAGTTCACTGACCCACAGAGACAGATTACTTTTTTTCTCTTCCCACCCGTCTCCTATACACATCTCCCAGCCCGGCTCTCAGCAACCAAGGACATTCTAGCTGGCATCCCGCTAGCTCCTGGCAACCAGTGATGTCACTTCTTGCCAGGAGCTGGGTGGGGCGCCGGCCAGAGCATCCCAGGTTGCTAAGAGTCTGGCAGGGAGATGTGTAAGGGCCATACACATATCCCCATCCAGCTTTTAGCAACCTGGGACACTCTGGCCAGTGTTCAGCCCATTGATGTCAATGGTGGTCAGGGCTAGGTGGGACGCCAAGGGTGCAACTTGCTGTAGATACACCTTTAGGCCTTGCTGACTTCCACCAGCCAATTTTTTTGCAAGCAAAAATACGGTTTATTTTTTTAAATGTACTTGCACACATTTGGGTATTCTTTGCAAAGTGAATTTTCCCCACATTCACTAAGCTAAGGGAAGACTCCCCTGCAAAGTAAACAGGTTGGCCTTTAGTAAATCAACCACACTGAGTCCATATCTGTTGTAGTCGCATAGTTTTTGTGCATAGAGTTAACCCAGTGATTCCAGATTTAAATTGGGTTCCATGAAAACTTTTTGGGTGTTTACAATAAAGAATGGCTCATCGTGCACAAATATCAAAACTGAACTTTTTTTTTTTGTAGGTTACGGAGTGTAAAGATGGAACAAAGGAAATTGACTGACCAAGCCAACACTTTGGTTGATCTCTCAAAGGTAAGCGTGAGCAAATTTGTGCGGTTTCTTCTGGCTCTTTGTGGCATCCACAACGGAACCTTTTTCTTTATACTGTTAAAACTGGAGTCCAGGTAAATCCAGTTAAAATATATATATATATGAAACATTGTACTGGCCACAAAGTTTCCTGTTTAGCTAATGTGATCCAACTATCCCTTCCAGGCAGCACTGCCTGGTTCTGAACCTCCCTAGAATTAGGTAATCAGCACTGCCTGGTTCTGTACCTCCCTGGAATGTGCTAATCAGCACTGCCTGGTTCTGTACCTCCCTAGAATGTGGTAATCAGCACTGCCTGGTTCTGTACCTCATTCAAATGTGCTAATCAGCACTGCCTGGTTCTGTACCTCCCTGGAAAGGCTATGTTGTTAATCAGCACAAAATAGAATACGGGCCCTCCCTCTTCTAGTCCAAATGCTCTGAACAAGGGGCTCCAAAAACTTGATATCAAGGGACCACCTTGTATGTAAAAATACAAGTAATCTTTTTTAACAAGGAGCTATCTGCTCATTATCATCAGGACCCATTGCCTGTTTGTTGCCCAATTTGCCTGATGGATAGAAGTGGCACACATAATATCTCTGCTTCCTTTGTATGTGATATCAAGGGCTTTGAATATCAGAAGCACTTATAAATCGTACCCTATGTTGGCCCTATATTGCCCAATCCTCCTTATTGATCCATCTAGTCAGGGGGCATAATTATGCTTTTTATGGTTAGGCTTGTACCTGTTATGGCCTGAGTGATGAGGGAGGCTCCTTTTGTAACTCTTGTCAGCGCACCCCTGAGGATGGCGCAGGTAGTGCACGGATAGAGACACCAGTGCCTGTAGATGCTGATGACCCACTGGTAGTGATGAGGGATGATGCAGGTAACTGGATGCAGGACCGTCCGGTTCCAGAGGAGCAGCTGTAGGCCTGATGGCAGCAGAGATGCAGGAAGAGGAGTAAGGCGGACCGGATCAGTAGCTAGCAGGCAAGGAGGTGCAGGGTTGTAGGCAGAGGCATAGTCAGTGGAAGCCGGGTCAGAGTTAAACAGGTAGTCAGAGCCAAAGCAGGAGAGTAGTCAGACAGGCTGGGGTCAACGGGTAGGCAGCAGACAACAGGAATCAGAAACAAGCTGGGTCAATACAGGAGTCAGATGCAGGAACACAGATACAGGTACAGCTGAAGATCTTCCAGCAACTAGCAGTTGCTGCTCAGTGTTTAAATAGGCTGATTGGCGCCAATAGGTGTAACGGGAGCGTGCCTGACGTACCGCAATGTGTCTGTGCACATGTACCGCTAATCGGTTACTATGCGGGTGTCCGTGCGCCACAGCGTGTGCGGTAACTCGGGACGTTCTTCGTGCTATGGGCAGTAGCCCTAGGTTCCTGACACATATGTGGAAATGTAGTTTTAGGAAGGTTCCCCTAAAACAGTGGTTCTCAACCTTTCTAGGGCCGGGACCCCTTGGTAACATTTGCCAAGTTGTGGTGACCCCCAAAGGTAAAATTTAGGGATGACGCGGCTGCTGCAGCGACATCTGGAGGCGTGGCAGGAGAACTGACACTGCTGCGCTAGGAGAGAGCTGAGGAGGACTCTCACCTTGCACAGCGACCCACCAGGTTGAGAACCACTGCTAAAGGCAAAGACAGGACCGGGCTCTGCAGCTGGAACTGGAAGAATTGGATTTAAAGTGTGTGGCTATATAACGTATGAGGTACATACTCCGCAGTACTGTCACTGATAGGGATGGGCTCGGGCGTGTTCGCAGCTCCATGTGCCGAGCCCGCCGGGAAGCTGACAGCGCGCAGTGCCAAACACAGGCACTGAGACATTGCCTGATCTCTGCAGCTGCGGACCGGGAAAATGGAACGCATAGCTAGAGGTGTGTTTTACATATTTTTTTGCTTGAATACATACATATTCCACCCGCCCTCTGCTGCTGTCAATCACTAGAAGGGGGCCTGGTGGAGAACTTCAGGTCCCCCTCTGCTGATGGCAGCATCAGAGGGCGGTTGCAATAGCTAGTTTGCTATTGGCTTTTGCAAAGTGAAATAGCCAATAGGAATCTAGCTATGCATTCCTATGGCGGGTTTTTTTTTTTTTCTGACTAGGCGACCCCTGGCAAATCGTCATTCGACCCCCGAGGGCGTCCCGACCCACAGGTTGAGAACCACTGCCCTAAAACATAAGGAATGTTATACTAAAATAGTCATACTATGTTTCTTTTAAACTAAAGACTTATTAAAAATCACTGACTTAATTTCCAAAATTTCTTCAGATGCAAAGTGTGATGTACGACCTCATAACGGAGCTGAATGACCGCAGCGAGGATTTAGAGAAGCAGATTGGCAGTCTGGAGACCAAGCTGGACCAGATCACTTCCACCTTCAACACTCTTCCTGTCCTTATTGTGGATGCCCTCCGACAACAGCAGCAGCAACTGCTCTCTGTGATCCTGGAATCTCGGGGACTGGGGGTAGCAGTGGGAACGCCACAGACCCCCATGTCTGACAGCCCTATGGGGATAAGTTCGGCGTCTTTTCCGACGCCACACACCAGCTCCAGCAGCTGCTGAGTGGGCAGAAGAAAGAACTGGCTTGGGAATGGTAGACCCCAAAACTTATATTTGCCGTCGGTAGGAATATTTAGGAGAGGATCAGGGACTGCTGGCTTCCTAAAACATCATGTAATCTCAGCTAACATGGGGTAGCCTTTAACATAGGAAAGCAGCTTGCCCTTGTGATGGGCTACAAGTCAAGGAGCAGAACGCCTGCTAGAAGTTGGGATACAGTATGGTGCATCCACTCATTCACTGCCAAGTGACCTGCGATGCTTAGCGGAGACGACAAGGGTTATCAACCCTACTTCCTCCAGTTGACACATTCTGTGATCTTCCTGATGACGCCCCTGTTCCATTCTATTACTGCCCTCCAATGTCCGGGCACTTCCATAGGGGCTAATGCCACTGATGGCAAGTTCAAAAACTTTCAAACTCATGACCTGCTCTTCTTCCTCCTCCATGACGTCTACATAACAAGTGCCTGCACATTGAAGGTGACTAACGTCACAACCAAGTCCCCGCAGACGTCCCAGAAAAAAAAAAAAGAAGGCTCCAATAGAGATTGATCACGTGGACGAAGAAGACGTAGAAATCAACGGGGCTTGCGAAAAAAACAGGACAGGAATTCTTTGTGCTTTCACACTCTGAAATTCTGTGCTTGGCATAAGAATGCTACAATTATACTCAACAAAACTGCTGTATCAGACAAATTAGACGCAAAAAAGGGGCACCTAAGCGTCTGCTGAAGGCTTTGGGGTGGCGGCAAATTAATGGTCTCTCGATGCGCCATGTTCATCGACCTGCGTTAGACTTGAGCACACGCCACTTCTTTATGTATTTTTGCACCAACAACAACCAAATAATAGAAGTAAATATATATAGATATATAATATAGATATATAGAAAGTCTCTACCAGCGCAGAGGTCTGGCAAACAATTATGGGGCGGGGATGGGGGTTGTTCTAAGAATCACTGTGTATTTACAGCCAAGGCTTGTTGCTGCTCGATGAAGGCTGAAGCTCCCTTTGTAGCTTCTGAGCTGCCGTTTTTCAAAACCCCTACTGCCAAAAAAAATTTGTTAAGATTTCGATTTATGCTAAAAACAATCAGTCCCGAGCACCTGCTTTTTTTTTCGAATACCCAAATTTGTTTGGTTCATCCGTTTCAAAGAAAAGATGGTTTTGTAATAGAACCCGGGTTTCCCCTTTGGTATAAGGGCAGCCACTTTATTTATCAGCTCGCTAAATGCTACTGAGGCAAAACTGACATATGTGCCATGTCTCATGGTGTCCACAATTGGCGGTGGTCCCGTTGCTAGCGACAGTATATGTAGGGACTTCCTTCATCTTTGTGACTGACACGGCCACCATGACTTTTTCCACTTCATTTCAGCGATGTTGCATCTTGATGTACAAGTAGTGAGAGGATCTCCTCCTTTTCTATGGTAAAAAGGGCAACAGGCCTTCAACTCTAGTAGAAATCGCGCAACGTGTTAACTAACCTCCGAGAAATAGTCAACGGGTGCTTCCGAAAGTTGCACACGCTCCTGTTTTTAAGCACATCTGCAGTTCTGGAAAATGAAAACATTATGTTGTAGACAGGCTTGTATGGAAGGTGGGCATTGTGCTTGTTCTTCTTCATGAAGGCCGGAAGGGTGCGATGTAGACTTGGCATCCATGGCAGTAAAACCCAACGTCCTAACCATGTAGCTCCAACTAGATTTAGGAAGACAATGAAAATGTATAAGGAGTTTCTCTGCACTAGTGCTCCTTCAAAAGATTGTCATCTGCTTTGTATTGAGTGCTTTCAACGTTAGCTTTATTATAAAGTCTTAGTCACTGTAACTACCACCAGATGAAATTGGACAGACACTCAGAGAGAGAGAGAGAGAGAGAGACAAGATTCCTTAGCTATAAGAGGTCCACGATCACTTATGGGGAGAACCCCCGAACATGAGATAAAGGAGATAACCCACTCAGTATGCTCCTGTATCCCAGTTCACTTCACTATCCGCTCCTCTCTCAACAGTGCCTCCATTGCTGTATTATATTATTTGGAAGGGGCATCTCTTGCTCCATTTCCACCACAGATATTTACACGAATGGCCAGGAATTCTTGAGGCAGTGGCACAGATCACCTTGTAGGGCTTTCTTCCCATGAGCAATTGTGGACCTCAGGGGTCTTGGATCACACTAAGTATCCATTTGGTTTTATCTGGTGGTTTTGGTGATACACACTTTGTTTTAAAGCTTACACGGTGAAGGCTCCTCTTGTGGAAGTGTGCCGTCACCGTGCTGTTCTTCAATGGTCGCTGAGAAACACCCACCTTATCTTCCTAAGGCTGACCATAGACTGGTGGTGGCAAATGCACGGGTAACCTGACCACCGAATCACCATTTTTATAAACAATCCTTCTTTAAACGCGCACATTTTAATTCTGGCCATACGGCTATGCTGGTGAAGGAGCAAAAGACCCAACTTATCTTCCTAAGGTTGACCATAGACTGGTGGTGACAAATGCACGGGTAACCTGACCACCGAATCACCATTTTTATAAACAATCCTTCTTTAAACGCGCACATTTGAATTATGGCCATACGGCTATGCTGGTGAAGGAGCAAAAGCTTAAAGGAGAACTATGGGGTCAGTGTTTTTCCCCATAGTTCTCCTTAGGGTAACGGGAGGACACAAACTAGTGTCCTCCCGTTACCCTAAGCTCAGTATACCGCGAGCTGCAGCTCGCGGTATACTGAGACTCCGCAGCCGGAGCGGATCCCGACCTGGACGTCAGGATCCGCCCAGCTGCGTGAGTGACAGCTGGCTCTGCCTATCTAGAGGCAGAGCCAGCAGACCCCCCCGCCCCCTCCCGTTCTGCCAGTCAGCACTGGCAGATCGGAGCGGGGAATCCAGCCCCTCCCCCTTTCACGGCAGAGAGCCGTGACAGGATCGAGAGGTGAGCGAACCCGGTATGTGTTCGCTCACCTCCCGATCTACTGAGCCGACCTGCGACAGTCTCATTGTCACAGGTCGGCTAGAACTATGAGGTGAGTGGAAATCACTCATCTCATAGTTCTCCTTTAATCTTATGGAAAACATCCAATACATCTTATTGCTAGCACCCCAGTATTGACCCCCAAGACTTGAAGATCATCAGTCAGGAAGCAATCAACTCATTTTTAAATAAGCCGACACCCCTGAAACAATACAAATTCTGTTTTGGGCCTTATTCACTAGCTAAGCACCGTCTGCTGTTAAACGCAATAGTTGGACCCTGAGTTTAGCCCCAAGCAGGACTTAAAGTTTGGGTTGCCATCTGATTTTTTCAAATTTAACCAAATATTTGGCCATTAACGCCCAGGGCACCCTGCCGGATCCATGGAGTGGCCTTGAGTGGGGCCTTTTGTGTCACGACTGATTCCTAGGACCATGTTAATGGACAAAAATGAAGGCACAGAGTAGGCCTTAAATATTACAATTCCAAAATGCACTAAAGCCTTGATGATTGCATGAACCAAGTACAGAGCCCGCCTCTCTGACTCTCCTCCTTCACGGCATTATGTTTATTGCTCAATTGCAGGTGCACTTTAAAACCTATTGTTCTTCATTAGCATAGGCGATGCTTGGATAGGCCACATCAGATGGCAGATGGCACCGACTGTGGGTGTCCATAGTGACCCGATAGCAGTTATTTTTCTGAACATCAGTTTGGCTCACCGAAACGTGGCTTCTTGTGGGCTAACCAGCAGGCGGTAGAAGTCATTCTTAGGTGGCCCAGCAGGCAAGTTTATGGATATAGACCAAGTTTTACATGCAGGAGTTATTCCTGCCAAACTGACAGTGCAGGGAGATATCTTTATATATATTTTTAATTTTTTTCCTAAAAAAAAAAAAGATAAAGACCATGACTGTGCGGCAAAAACAACCATTTAGAGACTGCCTTGATGATTCTCTAAAAACACTGCCCAACCTGCCAGTAACAGAACATGCCTAACGCCCATCAATGAGAGGCTATTTGTGTCTCCATGCCGAACAACCCCCTCTAGTGGTCAGGGGGTGACATTTTTCCAGGAGCAAATATCAACTTTTCTTTGTCGATGAATGTATCAATGTCCTCCGTCTTATCCAGGCCCAATAATGATTGATAGCTGCAGAATATTCCATTACCGGCCTCTCTGGAGATCTGCAGAACGTTGCTCCGTCCTATCTACTCCCTCACAAATACTGATTGATGTTTTGCAGATGATTCCATTACTGACCTCTCTAGAGATCTGTAGAACATTGCTTCTACCCACTGACAGATACATATTGATATATTCCGCAGAATATGCCACCGCTGACCTCTTCAGAGATCTGCAGAACATTGCTCTGTCCCATCTACCTCCTGACAGATATATATTGATATATTGCGCAGAGCATCTGCTACTTTCCAGTCATAAAAAACCTAATGCTGGTTTTCGTTCTGACCTTACACTGACCATGCTGTGTAACAGTGTACCTTCCTTTGGACACATTTGCTAAATCCATTAATCAAGGGCATTTTATTATTCCTTATTAAAAGCTGAATAAAGCAGATGCATAAAGCTGCCTGTTTTGTGCTGTAGGGCTTATAGTTAGTGCATTGTAATATTTAGTCACGTATGCTGCACTTCCTTTAAGTGCACCTTTCAAATATGGAAATTGGTGATAGCCATGCTGTATGTCAGCCAGTATTCAGGAGAGTGCAGCTGTTTGGTCTCTAGTAAATGGATTGGCTGCATTCTCAGTGATGTCATCACTCTCTAGTGAATTGATAGGCTGCATTCTTATTGATGTCACCAGTCTCTAGTGAATGGATAGGCTGCATTCTCGGTGATGTCACCGGTCTCTAGTGAATGGATAGGCTGCATTCTCTGTGATGTCACCGATCTCTAGTGAATGGATGGGCTGCATTCTCTGTGATGTCACCGGTCTCTAGTGAATGGATAGGCTGCATTCTCAGTGATGTCACCGGTCTCTAGTGATTGGGTAGGCTGCATTCTCAGTGATGTCATCGGTCTTTAGTGAAGGGATAGGCTGCATTCTCCAATCACCGTTGTCTAGTGATTGGATAGGCTGCATTCTCTGTGATGTCACCGGTCCTTAGAGAATGGATAGGCTGCGTTCTCAGTGATGTCATCGGTCTCTAGTGAAGGGATAGGCTGCATGCTCAGTGATGTCATCGGTCTCTAGTGAAGGGATAGGCTGCATGCTCAGTGATGTCATCGGTCTCTAGTGAAGGGATAGGCTGCATGCTCAGTGATGTCATCGGTCTCTAGTGAAGGGATAGGCTGCATGCTCAGTGATGTCATCGGTCTCTAGTGAAGGGATAGGCTGCATGCTCAGTGATGTCATCGGT